AAAACCTTCCCTTATTGTGTTAACTTCATTTTATAACCTTCTATTATTGGGTTAACGTAAAGCAAAAATAATAACACCATTGCCTTGGGCCCAAGGGACAAATTATTAGTGTATAAAGATGAATGGAATTCTAAAAATAAAAATAATATTAAATGTGGTCATTATATACATAAGTTTGTAGAAATTCTTACAAAATGTGGTCATTACATAAGCCTTTTCTTAATTTACTAGTATGGTACCCGTGCGCAGCACGGCGGGGTCATTTTCTCAAATCTTTTTTTTTTAAACTTTATTTTTTTATTTTTTAATAAATTAATAATTTCATTATAATGGAAAAGATGATAGAGAAATACAAAATGTAAACAAAATCATATATTATTAAACACTTCTCTATACACAACATTATTGGTTTGATTTTCTTTCAAACCTTCTTCTCCACAAATTAAAATTTTCAGACCCTTTCTGTTAGTAACACGGGAGACGGCGACATACAACTGGCCATGACTAAAAACTGGTTTCTTCAAGAATAAGCCAACATGAGATAATGATTGACCTTGACTCTTGTTTATAGTCATTGCGTATGAAACCATAATGGGGAACTGCCTTCTTTGAAATTTGAATGGTACTCTAACATCCGAAGGAATTATTGTCATCCGAGGTATCAAAACTTTATCACCTGCATGATCGCCAGTAAGAATTTTACACTCGAGAACATGATTGGAGAGTTTAGTCACAACCAATCGTGTACCATTGCAGAGTCCCATTGAGTGATCCATGTTCCGCAACAACATAACTGGAGTTCCGACCTTCAAATTCAACTCATGGTTCGACGTTCCAGAACACTTGATAGTATTCAAGAACTCAGGAGTATGAAGTTGTGCCACAAAGTCGTTATTGGAGTCGGATTTACACGTACTGTCTGAACTTAAATACGTGCGTCCCTCAGTCAAATTCAACGACGACATGTATTCATTTATAGATTCTACGATTTCGAGTGTTGGCGCAAGTATAGCTCTGTCCTTCAAGTAACTTGGATCATCGGGTGCATTCTTGAACATCGGATACGTGCTTTCAACAATTTTTGCAATTGGATCATCGGATGGTTCTAGTAATAGATCATCTGGTATGTCTATCGGAGAACATCCATCATTTGTACCCCCCAATGTTCCATCTCCAATGCTCGCTATCCAATCAGCAAAAGCGGTTAGCTCGTCACGTTCATTCGAATCGCCAATGCTCTGAAGACGCATGTTCTTTGTAAGCCTAAGCACAGTACAGTCTCCCCAAATGCTAGAAGAGTTAATAGCAGCATTAACAATCTTATGACGACTCCCCTTTGGAACGACCGGAAGGATTTGTCGAAAGTCTCCACCAAACACAACAGTCTTGCCTCCGAATGGTTTATGATGATTTGCCGGGTCGAGTGCTCCCATTACTGCCTTAAAAGATGTTTGAACAGCTTCAAAACAATGCTTATGCATCATTGGGGCCTCATCCCATATGATCAATGAAGAGCGAAAAATCAACTCGGCAAGAGGGCTTGCCTGATTGATCTCACATGATGAATTTTCATGCACAGAAATAGGAATGCCAAATCGAGAATGTGCAGTTCGTCCGCCCGGTAACAGGAGAGATGCTATTCCACTTGATGCAACACAAAGCACAATTCGACCGTGCAATCTTAGCCGAGCAGCTAAAGTCCTCCACAAGTATGTCTTTCCAGTTCCACCATAACCATACACAAAAAATACGCCGCCCCTACCAGAATGAACAGATGTCATTATTTTGGAATAAACACCCCTCTGTTCATCGGTCATATGCATCAGCAATGCATCATGCTCAATAGCTAGAGCCTTACGGACGTAGTTAAGTTCATCCAAAACCAGACGGTTCGTACTTGAATTAATACTGCCCATATCTGGAAAAGGCATAGTAGAATAGTCCCGAAGACTTGTGCCACGCTGTCTCAATAATGTCTCAATCTCTGCAAGAGCTAGATTTTTTATATCTGCATCACTCAGCTTCAAATCTGAAATAATGATAAACAACATATTAGATTTCAATTTTTACTTTGAATAAAAAAGGTTAATAATAATAAAAAACAATATTACTTTTGTACTTGATAAATGCATAATATAAAACCTATTAAATCTGATACCTTCATTATCGAAAAGACGACGTTGCTTGTATAGTACGTCGTCAGATAGAAATTGCCAACACCGCTCCCAAATTTCATCAGGTTTTCCTAAGGATCCAGAAACCAATAAAGACGCAAACATGCGCCTAAGAGAATCAGCAGATGCCCACTGACTTGCTTCGGTAATTCCATCAATGTACTCTCGATCATCACCCAACAAACCTCGTGCATAGCAAGCATCGCGATAGGACATGTGTTGAACATCTTCTACCTTCATATAATCCTCGTGGCATGTAGCACCACGAACAACATTGACCAAACACCTCAAATAATAATTATCACCAGCATTAGGAGGAACATAGCTCAAACAACCTATACAACCTGGCCTTATTCGAGGAGTCCAAACTCTTTCTGTTTTGTTCCAAACAAATTTTGTCGGCGCCTCAACATATGTCAGTTTCCTTGCCTCGGGATACATCTTGTTCGCTTCCATCCATGCCAAAAATTGGCTCTCATTGACAGTGGGATTATTAAGAACTGCATCGATAGGATCATCATCCTCAAAAACAATATTATGTTCACCTTTCAAATGGAAACTCAGACGTTGCACGGAAGCTTTTTTTTACTGCAGTTCAAAACCCAATAGCCTCCACGCCGCCTCGCAAGAAGACACATATCGATAGTCATAAAACATGTTGATCTCGTCAACAGGTTTTTCTACATCTCCGTACGCAGTCGTCTGATAGAATGATGCGGTCACACGATCATGACCTTTATTCACGTACTTGAAAAGGTACTTTATGGATCGCGATTGATTGCACCACTCGACATTAATATGCGCTCCATATTTCATCAACAATTTGCGATTGTGAGGCACGACATAACCGTTATGGACAACGACACCATTTTTTTCAATATGCCCTCCATTGTCTCGACGTTTGTATCGTGGATAACCTTCATGGTCGACAGTAGTAAAATCGACAAACTTTTTAGGAAACCGTTTACTACACTTGCCATCCACCATGCAAGGAGATGATTTTCTAGTCAAACCACAAGGTCCGTGAATCATGTGCTCTTTTACTGCCTCATAATACAACGGATCCGACGTTTCATCAGGTATCTCCGCAGATATTACTTTGTCAATGTCTGACGGATCTGGAAACTTATTTTCTTTAGCGAGAAATAGTAGTATATGAGCATGCGGCAATCCACGCTTCTGAAATTCAATGGTGTAGACAACTACAAAACACAAAAGAATATAAAACAATTAAAAGATTTTTTAAAATGGTGTTAGACACCACGATGGACAGATATACAAAATTGTTTATTCGTAATATAATACCTGCTACAACTCTGCCGAACATCTGCTTCTTACGAAAATCCCTGATTAGTTCCTTTAATTTTGACTTAAAAACTCTGCAAATAATATCCGGGCGATCCTCAGGTCGCAATCTCTTTGGTTCCAAAAAGTGAACAATCTCGGGCCATTTTGGATTGCATGTGAAGGTTATAAACAAATCAGGATAACCTGCCCATCCGCAAATTGCCATTGCATCCTGATAGTTTTGAATCATGTTTCGAGGTCCTCCAGTGAATGAAGAAGGCAGAATAATTCTCTTTCCTCTAGAGCTTGGATCGACATCGCCCTGAAGAACTGCATCCGCCAATCTATTATAAATATCACATCGGAGTCGACTCTGATTGAATCGTATGTACCGCAACCTCGATGATTCAACCATGGTATATGCATCAACGACAAACTGCTGAAACAATCTTCTCGATGAAAGAATAGTAGATGGTTCGTGTTTCCTATCATGGATCTGATATGCAAAGTATTCCCGGACGCTCACTGTTTTTCGACCTTTTTCTTTTTCAACTTTCCGCTTTGAAAAGGGTATGTCTTCTCTATAGCCATCCTCACCGTAAGGCAAAAGAAGTGGATATTGTAAAGCTAGATATGAAGCATTAAGCTCATTTATCCACTGAAGTCGTCCGCTCTTGGTTTCAACCAATATATCTCGCTCACCCATAGCCTGATCAAAATCTCCAACAACCAATACAGCAACTTTAGAACTCGTAGGCAAGTTATAACGTCTCGCATCATTAAATCTCTTTCCAATCAAACGAATCCTGACATTAGCTTCGCCATGTTCTTGAATTCTTTCTCTAGCCAAACGAAAAGATTTCACAAGTTCGTTGTGCTCATCCAACATGACCGTCAAACCAGACACAATTTCCCCATTCAAATCAGTAGCACCGTCAACATTTCTGAAAAAATGAAAGGAAATTTGTAAGGCATCCCAATTATATAAAAAAATAATAAATACTCGGGTAAGGATATTGTTTGAATGCTGACCTGACAGCATTCATTCTGTTGGTTACTTCATTATCCGTGTCATATATATAGAGCTGAGCAAACTTAGGATTTGAACCTTCAGACGGAAGTAAACTACCCATGAGATGGTAGTTTTGTCCGTGCAAACTGAAAACCGGTGGTCCCTTACCTTTGTTGATATCTGTATTGATCTTGCCTCCCAGCGAAGTAAAGCCGAACATGCTGTTGTAGGATCTAATATTTTCTTGAAAGTGTTTGCTAGTGCGACTATCTCCATGTAGCAATTCACTCAAATATTGTGGCGGATTATGTAGAACAGGGAGTTCAATGATACCATTCACACAACAACCACCGTACTCGGTAACAGCTGATGTTCTCTTAGACGACTTTTTCTCGGCATACCAAAACATTGCCCCGCAGTACACGCATTCGACGTTCGCGTCACCCATGTCCCAGTACTCTATAATTTTTATAATGAAGAATATTATAATATAATATAATAATATTATATAATAAAAATGAATTTACAAAATTTGTCATAAAATTAAAATTGAAAATGAAAACCAACCGGATTGTGTAGACGTGCTTGCCAAATTTTTTCTTGGTCGACCACGTTTTCTTATTTGATTGGTAGGTTGCACTTGATCACGCGAATCAACACATACAATAATACAAACATAATTAATTTAAAAATAACCACTAAATAGAATTATATAATTCATAAGAAAAATCATAATATAAAAAACATACCAATTTGTGAGGACGTGCTTCCTATTATTTTTTTGGGTCGTCCACGCTTTCTTTTAATAGACGTAAGTGGTACTTGATCGTCAATCGGGTGATGCAATATCTCACTCGATATAGTTGGGAATGGAGTTGGAGTGACGGTTATTGTTTCACGTACTAAAAAACGTAAACAATGAAAATATATTTACTTTAAAAATTATATTGAAATCACATGCAATAAGTGATAAATTTAGTATTTAAATAAGAACATACCAGTTTGTGTGGACGTACTTCCTATACTATTTTTTGGTCGTCCACGCTTTGTTTTAATAGACGTAAGTGGTACTTGATCGTCAACCGGGTGATCCAATATCTCACTCGATATAGTTGGGCATGGAGTTGGAGTGACGGTTATTTTTTCACGTTCTAAAAAACGTAAACAATGAAAATATATTTACTTTAAAAATTATATTGAAATCACATGCAATAAGTGATAAATTTAGTATTTAAATCAGAACATACCAGTTTGTGTGTACGTACTTCCTATACTCTTTTTTGGTCGTCCACGCTTTCTTTTAATAGACGTAAGTGGTACTTGATCGTCAACCGGGTGATCAAATATCTCACTTGAAGTAGTAGTGTTTGCATTGCCCTTTTTTTTTCAAGTTCTGGGATATGTACATAATTACAAAATAAATAATTAAAAAAAGAAACGATACTGAAAATAAATATAAAATCCAAATGGACGTTTTTTATTACCTTCCGATTGCTTGAAAAGTCTATCAGAACTAAGAAGAAAAACGTCGTTATCGTCATTGGTAAGATCAATGAAGGGTGACAGTCCTACATTTTCTCTTACATTTTCGAACACTACAATCGGAAATATTGAACATAAACTATATGCTTGTAAATAAAATAAAAAATAATAAATAAATAATCATTTAATTTTCAATAATGTTTACCATTTGTGATGTCTGACAATGGTACACTTTGAGTGGTATGTAACACACTTCGATATTGATATGAAACATTGCCCCAACGATTATTGTTTTCTTCGGGAATAAATGATGATCCACTGATAAGAGATGATCTACAAAATCCTGTAAAAATTGAATTTTAGACTATATGTTTTTGTTAAACATAAAAGTTAACATAATTAGTCAATCATTATAATACATAAAATTAATTAGACAAAAAAATGTACTTAATCAATCAACCATTATGTTTGTGTTTAAGAGCTAAAAACCATTGTCTTACATGTGGGCCAAATAATTTTAATTAATTGGGCCTAAAATCTAATACATATGTTTGGGCCGAAGTCATATTTTTTTTTTTTCAGCCCAAACAACTAAACATTTGCAATAAAAGTACATTACAAATTAAATGGTTGGTTCAAAATCGGACGGCTATAAGTAAAGGAAACAAATCTAATGGCTGATATTAAGTCAAATATGGTATAAAATATGAGAAAACCCGATAAGGGTTTCATTCACCACATCAGTTTTTTTCGCCGCTACACCTCTCTCTCTCTCCCTCTATCTATCTCTCTCTCTCTCTCTATCTCTCTCGATAATTCTTATCTGTAAACATTCCTTGAATAAAATCGTCCGATTTTGCCGTATTTTTGTCTGATTGTTGTTTCATCACTGAGCTTTCTTATTTTGTAAAATCGAGCACATCGATTTCGTTTTTTACAGTTTTTTTTTTATTTTTCAAAACTGTGAAAAATGAATCTTGTATCGATCTTTACTTCGATCACTGCCAACAAATCGACGATCTTCAGATCGGAAATTTAAACATCGCAGTGGAAGGTAAGAAGAACGTTCACCTAATTTTTTTTTTTAATACGTATTTTGATTTTGATAGAATATATATGTTCTCTTGCGAAATTGATGTTGTTTGCTACAAATTTATTTCAAGACAACACCAGATCTACGTTTTCAGCTTAATTTGCTATCTGTTTGTGATTGAATTGAAGTGTTTTATGTGCGAAACTTGTGTTCTTGCAGTTTATACATGTTTATGTCAAGAAAACATCGGATCTACATTTTCCTCTTAATTTTCTACCTGCTTGTGATTGAATTAAAGTGTTTTATGTGCGAAAATTGCAATCTGCAACCATCGAATAGTATGTTATCGTTTTTATGTCAGTGTGTTGATCTTTCATATGCAATAGTCATTTTGTTGTTTCAGATATTTGCACGAATATGAACTATGTATATTCGGTTGACACATGCATGAACTACCATTCTGATAAACACTGATTCAAAGAGTGGTTGATATCTTTGAAATGTTCACACATACTCTAATAGATTTAAGTGTATAGCTCGACTTTGTTTTGTCTATTAAAAAA